AATCTCTACAATATTTTTATTTCTGTAATCATTCTGCAAACGAGGTTGTTACAGATTGAATGGTGTCCCCCTCCCTAGCAAAAATCCCCAATTCAGAGCCCTAACCCCCCCGGGAACCTCAGAATGTGACCTTATTTGGAGAGACGGCCGTGGCAAATGTAATTAGTTAAGATGAGCTCATTAGGGTGGGCCTGTGTCCAGTATGACTGGTGTCCTTACACAAAGAAAGTTGGACACAGACGCTGGCAGAAGGAAGTGAGGGGAGGACACAGGGAGACGCCAAGGAGAGGCCTGGGGGGCACCTCCGTCTGTGTGCTTTGTTACAGCCGCCCAGGGAGAGACATCGGTCAACCCCAGGACACCCCAGTCCCCACCCTGGCAGCTGATGACGGCATCGGGACGGAATTAGGGACTAGACTTCAAGCTCACGTGGTGCACATCTGACATTTTCTGAAGTTTAATGACCCCTTTCTCACTTCACATGAATTCTTTTTACTCCAACCTAATACCTCGAAATCTCAAGATAGTATTTGCCTTGGGAAGCCAGGCAAAGCGGCGTGGCCACTCAGGCACAGAACATCACTGGAGGGGACTTTGCCAACAAACCCCCAAGCCTCCACGGGAGCCAGGAAGGCCTGTGGTGGCGTCTGGGCACTGGGGTCCCTGCTCCCCTCGGCAGACCTGGAACCCTTCACGGGGGCAGGCAGAACAGAAGGCCAACGCTAGCCTCGTGCAAATCCCTCAGTCAGGGGCCAGCACCTGCTGCAGTCAGGAGCCCGTGCGGACAGGCCCCTCCTGCAGGGAGGGACAAAACCTACCACCTGAGGAGACAATGGGTGACACGGGGCAGCAATATTCAAATACCAACAGCTGCAGCAGCTCAGAAATGATACGCAGCAGGATCCTTTTACGCTCTTTACATGTACTGTTTAAACCCCACAGCCACTGCTCAAGTGAGACTCTGCTCATTCCTGTTTCCTGGAGGAGGCATTGAAGGCACAGAGAGGTTAAGTAACTTGCTCAAGGTCACACAGCTGATGAGTGGCAGCGTGAGGATCTGAATCAAGGTAGTCTCGCTCCAGAGCCACAGCCTCACTGGCCAAGCAGGCAGCCCCAGCCCTCCAATGAGCTAAGGAGACAGAAGCCCCCTCCCACCGGGGCACTTAGGAGGCTCTCGGGTCACAGGGACATTTGGGAACATCTCTCAAACCATCTGACTGGACAGCCCACGGCAAGGTGAGGGGCGGGCCGTCTGTTCTTGCCACGACACGTGGGACACATCTGTGGGACCCGACGATCAGGCGGGACCAGCCACGTGGTGTGTGGGCTCTTCTGAGTGTGGGGTGACTGTGCGGGCCGCTCGACCTTGAAGCGGGCCCTGAGGCCAGACCCCCACTCTGGGAAGGCACCGCGTGGTGAAGACAAGCCAGGCCTGCCCACGACTGGGTTGCCAGGACCAGGGTGCACCCGGCACGTGACAGCCCTCCTGGTTGGAAGTCACCAAGGCACAAGCTGTGTCTCCAGCAGGGGCTCTCCACCAGGAGCGGCACTGCCCCTCGGGGGACAGTTCTGGTTGTCACAGCTGTGGAACCCCGTGGGGACAGGCAGCCCCACGACACAGAGCCATCCAGCCCCAAACGTCAGTGGTGCCGAGGTGGAGGAGCCCGGTCCAGAGGGCCCAGCCCGGCACCTTCCAGGACATTCCCTCGTGCGGGAGCTAGACCTCGGGATCTGTGAGGGAGGTGCGCGAGGACACGGCTCCGGGGCCTAGGCCGTCTGCACCGGGGCACCTTTGTTTAAGCCGCAGACCGCGAGGAGGAGGGGCTCCGTGCTCTGCAGCACGGTGGGGCAGGGCCTGCACGCTGTGTACCTCAAAACACACCAAACTGCACGCTTCCAAGGGTGCATTTTACCGCACGGATACCCACCCTTTCAAAGCGGCTTTCAGCTGAGACTTCTCACTTGGTCAGAGTCAGTCGTTTGGGGATCGCTCGTGGAACCTCTCCCCAAACCCCAGTTCCCACCTGGGTCTCCCGTGCAGCCCACAGGCTCCCTGCCCCACCTACCATGGAGTGCAGGAGCCGCATGTGATCCCGGAGCCCGGGGTCCACCTGCCGGAGCTCCTTGAAGTCCATCTTCACCAGGACGGTCACGTTGTACCAGAAACCTGCCAGGGTCCCCTCCGGAGCTGCATGAGGACACATCGCTGAGCCCCAGGCCAGGACAGCGCGGGACACCCCCCGCCCCCTCCTCTTGCGTATAATCCTGTATACACTGTACATTGTTGTACACAGCACGCCCTAGGTAGCGCGGTGTGCCATTGATACTGCGCGCACTACGACGCGCACAGCGCGAGTACCGTTGTGCGTTGTTTGTGTCGTAGTATTGCATAAATATTGTAATGCCCTGCTTTACGTTATTTGTGCTATCACTTCGTACTGCGCTAATAAGGCACACACTGCACTAACACACAACATGTAACGGATGTTGTATATTGTAAGGCTTTTTGTATCTGTCTCCCCAGCTCTGAACCTTTCCAGCCCGTTCTCCGGGGGGCGGGCCCTGAGGGCCAGGCCGCCCACCTGCCGGAAGGGGGCCACGGGGAGGACCTCGGGGCCCCATGGAGCTTCTCCAGCAGACAGCCTTACCCCTTCCCCCTCTGACACAGCTCAGCTTCCAGGAAGCTCCGCCGGGAGCTCGGGGGCTTCGTCAGGCAAACTTGGGAAACTGGGGTCACTGCTCTTCCTGGAACGCCCTGCCTCCTCAGGGCACCTGCAAGCCCGCGGCCCGCCCTGAGGGGCCAGTGGCCGGTTTGGATGAGTACAGGGGGCCTGGGCACAGGCTTCCTGTAAAACCCGAGCCGCTGCTTCTGGAAGCTCACTCCCCATCACCCCATCACCCAGTGCCTGGGCCCCCAGCCCCGCTCCACTCCCTAACTGGAGACCTCCTCTGCTCAGGCGCCAGCCCCACCTCGGGGAGCGGGAGCCGCACAGCGCAGGCCCCCCGGCCAGGGGCAGCACTTCTGAAGGCCGGGGCAGTCGGTGTCCAGGGCACATGGCGAGGTGGATGCTTCCGGCCCCACTGTCGGGCAGGTCCCAGGTCTGGACGCAAACTCCGCCGACCGATTCAGGGCTGGGGGGACAAGCGATTAGCAGTTAGTGACGCTGGCAACAGAGCCCCTGATGGGCCGTGCAGGCGCTGCGTCTGGGTGCCTCCTAGCACGGGAACCCGTCCGCAGCTCCCAGGCCCACAGTGCGGCCCGCTCCCGGGCCATGTCCGGGCCTGGCGGCACCTCACCACATCCTGCGGAGCAGCTGCTGAGGGCCAGGGCTCTGAGTCTAATGTAGCCTGACCGTCTGTCCTGGAAGGAAGGCAGCCTCAGCTGGGAGCCCAGGTGTCCCCCTTCCTCTAGGCCTCAGGGGTCCAGACACAGGAGCCTCCACCACCCCATAGAGGCCCCCTTGCTGCTCTGTGTCCTGACAGCTCCCTCCCTCCCTCACTTGTTCAGTATTTACTGAGCACCTGCCATATACTAGACATGGTACAAGGTGCCCGGGACCCAGCAATCGGCCAGAGGCAAATCCTGCCTCAGGACACAGATTCCAGGGGACAGAGGTCAATATACAAGCAGACCTATGGAAGTTCAGTTGGAGGATTGCTGTGGGGAAGAAAACAGGGCCCGGGCAGCCGGGCAGGGAAGGCAGCCCTGGTGAGTCTGCCAGACACTCGGTGGCTGACCGCCCGGGAGAGCCTGCGGGTCTGCACGTGCCCAGCAGTGGGGCTCAGGGCAGTGAGGGACGGTCGGAAGCTGGGAAGCTGGGAGCAGCGGGCTGAGGGCAGCAGGGAGAGAGGTGCCGGGAGGGTGAGACTCCAGCATAGCGTGTGTGCTCACAAGCTTCCTGCCACCCATCCTGAGACGAGGGCTCCATGCAGCTTGGGTGCCCCTCAAGCCCATCTGGTTCCCACCCAGATCCATTTAAAGCTCTGTGTCCTACATGACTTTGAGAGGTGCAGTTCCAGGCCCCTCAAAGTCCAGGAAAGTCAAAAGAGGCTGCTGACAACCGCAGTCTGGAAAAGTGCCCACAGAGCTGGGAGCATCAGCCTCTTGGGGGGACTTGAGGGGTCACCAGGTAGAAGAGAATCCCCGAGGGACTGCAGTCCCAGGGACAAACCTTTGGGGTCCCCCAGGGTCTCTGCAGGATGCTTCAAAGCCAGACCTGCTGGGAACACTTCACCAAGGGCGGCTGCGTCAGCCAAGGACGAGAAGAGAAAGACAAAGTGGCTGAAACACACATAGAGCGGCCCCATGGCCACTCTCCTCCTGGGGCCCAGGCTGCCGGCTCGCTGTCTGTTCACACCGCTGAGCCCGGACTTGGAGGTCACTCTCAAGGGCATTCTCCTTTCCACGCCCTCCTCGGCTCCCCCTTCACTTCCCAGCTGTCCCAGTGGCGATTCTAGTGCCTAAAGTCCTGGAGGCGCGGCCATTCAGGGACTGGCTTTGGGGGCACGAAGAATAGGCGTGCGGCGCAGCCAGAGAGGCCGTGTGAGCTCCTTGTCTTCAAATCAAAAATATTTCAACCCAGAGGTTTACCTACATGAGAGGAAAATATAGGCCCCCAGGAAAAACTGACTTTCAAAAATGATTGCCTGATCACAGCAGAAGGGTTTCAAGTTAAAGTTCGTCTTAATTTGGATGCAGCTGGGAATCTCCCTGCATCCGTCAGGGCTGGCAGCTTACAGAGAGCGGCCAGCAGTTCCAACTTGGTACAAAGTCAAAAACCTGCTTCTCCTTCCAAACAGTGACACAGGGCGGCCCCGGGCCCGGCAACCCCAGGTGAGTCACAGCTCAGTGAGACAAGGCAGAGGCTTCTGTCTGAGCCACAGCCCTGAAGGCTTCCTAGGGCTGGGGAATCTGATCTCTGGGATGATTATTCCCACCTCTGCCTCCTTCCTCAGGGTCCTCTCCCCCGAAGGGGCCCTGCCGTCAGCCCGGGAGGAGATGGGAAGTTTGGGGTAGGCTCCTGGTGCAGGGGCATCCTGGGCTTGCCATGGAGAAGGGTCTGCGGAGGAGACGGGCCAGGGAGGGAGGAACCAGGGGCATCACTGCAGGTGCCCAGTGTTTACCGAGGTGCTCGGATCCATTCCGAGGAATCCGTCCTGAGTAGCCATTCCAGCTTGTGCACGACTGTGTTTGCGCCATATGGTACTCACCGCAGCCTTATTTACAATCGTGAAAAATTGGAAGCAACTAGATGTTAAGTGGTGAGAGATTGCTTAATGCTGATACATCCATGTGAGGTAATGCCTTGTGGCCATTAAATCATGCTGAGAAACACTATTTATTGACATGAAAGATGTTCCAGATAAATTGCCAAGTGGTAAAAGTGCACTACAAACCATCCTGAGCAGGCTGACCGAGCATTTGTTAAGCATCTGGCCTAAGAGACTAGAAGGAAACGTTAACGGTGGTTATTCTTGGTGGCGGGATCGGGGAGGACTTAACACGCAGTCTCCCTTTGTTCTTTTTGCTCTTTCCAAATTTTCCACATGGCTGGTGCATTCATTTTTGTAATTGTACTTTAAAAGAGATTAAAATGCAATCTCGTACAACTTACTGCATTCCAATGTTGGACTTAAAAAAATGGAAAAAGGCATCTAGACCGAAAGAAATAGCACATGTTCTCAGAAGGCCCTTCCCTTGTTAGACAACGGTCGTTGAGTGGGAGGAGGAAGAAGAAAGCAAGGCTGAGGTTTTGCTGCCACCGAGGATGAGACCTCTAGCTGAAGCTGCCAAGACACAAGTCACCCCTTATCCGGGCAACCCGGAGGTCCTGCCCCGAGGACAGAGTGCCTGCCCCCGTCCCGGCCCCCGGCCCATCACGCATCAGAATCCCAGGCTCTTCCCGTGGCTACCAGCTCCAGGCCTCTGCCTCTTTCTGCGCAGAGCCCCCGCAGGTCTCCGTGGGCCACTTACAGAGCCTTCTCACTTCCTGTTCCACAAGGCCAGGCTGTCATGAAGCATCTCTGAACCAAGTCTGATCAAATATTCAAGCTTTGATTGGGGGCCAGGAAGGCGTGGAGAAAGCTGAGCTGCCGGTGTCCCTGGTGTAAATGCCTCTAACCCAGGCACTTTGCAGCTGCTCACGTGGCGTCCCTGAACACAGAGGTGGGGGAGCGTTGCAGCCCCCACCAGGGGTCACAGCCCAGACCCCCCAGCCACCGCAGGGCCAGCCAGCCAGGACCTTCCTGAGTCCACTGTGCTCTGTGCCCAACCTCCCTCATCACCATTCCCTTCTTGCCCCCACCCCTGACAGTCCCCGTCCTCAGATGCTACAGATGCTCCCAGTCTGAATCCGACTGGGATCAGGGAGACCCAGGCCCAAGTCTGTGGGATCTTGGTCAAGTCACCCGCCTCCCCCCGGTCTGTGTCCCTGGCACTCGCTCAAAGCCCCCTTTCCTCTCTCTTCTCCCTCCTCCTGGGCTCCTGTCTCTCCTGTCCACACTGCCTCTAGAGAGACCCTTCTAAGGCCCGGCGTTGGGGTGGGGAGACCCCACCACCCCAGCTCAGCCCCCTCTGCAGGGCCTGGGGGCTTCAGGGTGAGTCCTCCCTCCCTCATTCCCAACGCGCCCCCACCCCGTCCCCACCCTCCCTACACCTGCCGCACCAAGACCTGTGGTTCCCCAGAGCAGACCTGCCTGCGGGACTCTTTCTAGAACGTTCTGGCCCTCTCCCGCCTGGTCAGCTCCTATTTAAAGGTGCTGACACCTTAAACGTGGAGCTGAGCCCCCCGAGAGGCGGTCTTGGTGGCTGGCTTGTTGGGAGAGAGATGAGCCGCAGGTGCCTCCCCCCTTCTCTCTGGGGGGGGCTCACTTGTGAGCGCAGCAGGACCGCACCTGCACAGAAAGGTGACCTCGGGGCTCAGCCTCTTCCAGGGGCGCCTCTGGACGTGTGACCTCACCGGCCCCACGACAGCCGGCAGGTGGGGAGAGTGTGGTCCTCGCAGGTGAAGGTGGATGGGGCAGGGCGGACGCCTCATTCTACCTGCCGCCCCCACCCAAGGGGACCCCGACCCTCAGGTGCAGGGCGCTCCCAGGCCAAGGCAGCTCCCTCTGTGCACGCGGCCCTCCGAGACAAGGACAGCAGGGAGGGGACTGCGGTCAGCACAGAAAGGGGCGCCTTTGACCCAGCACCTGGACAGGACCGCCAGGGGACAGAGACCCAGTGGGAACCCACCACAGGCTCCCCCTGCAGACCTGAGGCCAGCTGGCCCTCCATGTTTCTATGCATGGTGGCGGCACTGGTGGCAGTGGTGTCATTGTACCACTCCCGGAAGCGGTGTACCCCTGTGAACTGCTCAACCCTGAGCTGTCTGGTCATCTCTGAGCCTGGTCCTCTGCATGGGGTCAGGGCAAAGTGTCACCATCCTTGTCCTCTGTGAGATGGCTCTGGAGGACTAAGGGCAGCACGATCAGGACGGCTCGGCGTGCCCAGCCCATGCACCCTTCTGCAGGGTCCGGCTGACCCAAGACTCCGCATCTGGGAGCCCCTGGTGCTGGGAAGCTGTTCCCCCGGGGCGCAGCACCCACGCCCTAGCCCACAGCTGTCCCGGGGCCCCTCCCTGCACCCCCTGAGCTGGTGCTTTCTGGAATCTGAAGGCAGCAGCCCTCACGTCTCAGAGTGTCACCCTGACACCCCACGAAGCCACACCCTTCTCACTTCGCCTACACCACGGGTTTGGGGACTGACTGTTCAGAGACTCATCTTAGCTCTGGTATTGACTCAGATTTAACAATCACCACCTCCCACACACATTCACACACGCACACGCCTGCATCCTTTCCCCTGGAAGAAGTCTTCTGGAAAGTTCCCTGTGTGTCAGGGACTGAGCCCTGAACCCCCCTCCAGCTCAGCCCACTTGGCCTCAGACACTGTCCGGCAGAGCCGCACCGGTGCTGGCAGCCGCCCCGGGCATGTTCTGAACCGCACTGAGGAAGTCGGGGGGCTCGGGGGCTTCTGGGCCATGGAGAGGGGCACAGAGGGCCCCCTTTCCAACTCTTCTACAGACTGGAGCTCAGACCAGGATTTCATAGCTTTCTGAATAAAAGCACTGGCTGTCAGTATAGCAGAGATGACAGTGCTGGCTCCCAAACTCAGCTGCAGGTTAGAACTGCTCGCAGAGCCTAAACAACCTGCCCCGAAGATCTGCCCCAGACCTAGTCCATCCCAGTCTCCGAGAGGGGACCCAGGGATCAGAGTTTTGAAAGCTGCCCCGGGGACACTGTCACTGTGCAGTCAGGTCCGAGAGCCAGCCCATCACAGACGTTCTTAGAGTGTAGCCTCGGGCGGCATCAGCACAACTGGGGCCCTGTGCTCCACCCCTGACCCCCTGGATCTGAAATCTGGGTGGGGCCAGTCACCTGTGCTTGGATGGCCCTGGTGCACACACAAGGCTGAAACCAGGGTTCCAGAAGGATCTGCTGGTTCTGGGTTAAGGGATGTGGACAGAGACCATCCCGAGAGTGGGCGGGGCCCGGGGGGGCACCGCCCCTGAACTCACGCAGGACGCAGTAGAGGCCCAGCTGCTCGTAGCCCTCGCAGCAGTCGGTCACATTCCTCCACTCGGGAACCTCCACCACCTGGAAGCGGGTCCTGTAGACCGTCTTGGGGCAGCGCCGCCAGGGGATCCAGCGGCCGCAGGGCACGTGGGTCAGGAGGGACGTCTGCACGGCCTCCACACGCGGCACGCTCCGGGCCACGCTCTGGTTGCACAGCTGGTAACTCAGCAAAGAGAGGCCTTTTTCTACCGGAGGAAGTGGAGGGGGTTGATGGAGGAAACAAGAAGTGGAAAATGGCACAGTCAAATCCATCCGAGGGGCTCTCTGTCAGAGCCGGTGAGACAGGACCCCCAGCGTGGCGGACCCTCGGAATCTGCCGCCCAGCCCAGACCCGAGAAGGAGACGCCAAGGCGTGGACTTGAAGGACTAAAGCAGGAGCGGGCCCCCGTGGGCCGAGAAAGCCTCCTCTACATGGCGGGGGACACCGCCCCCGCCTGGCGCCTGCCCGGGGGTCTGACGTGACATGGAAGGGGACACGGAGGAACCGAGCATCTGGGGCTGCCGTCCCAGGCTCCGTGCTCTCTGACTCCATGGGCTGGGGAGCCTTGTGCGCACCTTTTCTCTGTGAGAGCCCCAGGGTCGTCCCAGGTGAGCTGAACACAAACTATTCCCGTAATGAATGCATGACGTCCTGGGCACGCTGGCACTGGCACCCTCTTTTGGAACGAGACACAAGGTGGATGATCACATCCAGCCCATGTGAGAAGTTCATAGGTGGGAAAGGTCAGTCCTCCATCACTGTCACCAGCAGCAGGACGACAGGAGCTGGCCTGATCAGGCCCTCTGCGTCTCCCACTTGGAGCCTGGTTCCTGTGCACAGACACCTGTGGCCATTCATTAGCACTGTCACTTGGTTCTCGAGGCCCCGTGGCACACACTGCCATCACCAGCCCTACGCCCCTTTGTCATGGACCATCTCCCACGGGGTCCTCAGGTGTCCCATCTGCCCAAGGAGCCTCTGTGGCCTCCTGAAACAGGGACTGTCATGGGCTGAAATGTGTCCCACCCCTCATTCATGTCCTGAACCCCAGGACCTCAGCGTGTGACTGTATTTGGAAACAGGGCCTTTGCAGATATAATTAGTTTAGCTGAAGGGATACTGGAGGAGGGTGGCCCTGGTCCAATATGACTGGTGTCCTTATAAAAGGAGACATTTAGACCCGGAGACAGGAATGCACCCAGACGGCCACGTTAAGATGGAGGCAGAAATCAGGGAGATGCTTCTAAAAGTCAAGGAGTGACAAAGATTTTCAGCAAACCCCCAGAAGTTGGAGGAGAGCCTGGGACAGATTCTCCATCACAGCCTCAGGGGGAGCCAACCCTGCCCGCACCTTGACCTCAGACTTCTGGTCTCCAGACTGTGAAGAAATAAACCCCTCCTGTTAAGCCCCCAGCCTGTGGTGCTTGCCCAGTGGCCCCGGAGAACTGACACAGGAGCCAGGGGTGCCCCCACCTCCGCAGCCAGGACAGGGCCCACCGCAGCGCGGGACCTCCGTGTGGGATGGATGAACGGCTTGAATATCTTTGCAGTTTCAGATACTCAGCCTCGAGCCCTAAGCTTCCCGACACTGTGCAGCCGTTGGGTGGGTTCCCACAGAGTAGTGCACTCCCCTCAGGGCAGAGCTGGGTTTCTGGGGAGGAGCTCAAAGATGGCAGAAGAAATAATCTTCACCCTCAACCCCAGGACAGCACCAGAAGTTTCCCTCCTATGGCCTCATAGTCACTCACAAGCACACAGAAAGCAAGACGTGGGGGCTGGTGACCCCGGGAGGAAGTGGGGCTGAGCCAGCCCTCCAGCAGGGCTGGTGGGAGAGCAGCCCACTCCCCAGCCACGTGGTGGCCTTCCCCGCAGTGTCAGGGCCTTGGGGGTACACACAGCCTGTGCTCACCACAGGGTGGGTTCCAGTAGGCTTCAGGGTCAGGAGGCCCCTCGCCGTGTGGGGTGGGGCAGGAGAGGCAGCATCTGAGGCCAGAACTTAGAGGTGACTGGGATGGGACGTGGGGCCTGCAGAAAATGACCACCGTGAACATGGTCACTGGTTGATGGACGGGGCCAAACAAGGCAAGGCCTCCTGCACAGAGAGGTCGGCGAGGCAGATTTAGATGTTGTTTTTCATCTTCACACAAGACCAGATGACAACAGTAATGAAGGTTACACTTCTCTGCCTCTAGAGAGCCTCTGGGCTCCGCCTGGTCACGACAAGGTCCCAGCTGATCATCAGCAGAGCCTTACACACACACACACACACACACACACACACACACACACACACATACATACACATACACACCCCTCCTTCCAAGGAAACTGCACTTGCATCTACTTGTTTTGTTTTTCACCTTCTACTGGAAGCCACTGGGTCCTCTGAGGGCCTGGCTTCTTGGCAGAGCCCGGAATAAAAACCTTTCAGCAGACCCTGCCGTTCAACAAATTCTTTCAGGAGCTCTCAGCACAGGAGTCAGGGGCCCAGGGTTCTGGTCCCAGAGGCTGAAAATCTTAATGCCCTGGCAGGTCCTGGGGTCAGAACACCTGCGTTCACACCAGCTTTGCAAATACCAGCCATGTGATTCTGAGTACGTCCGTGCCCTCTTAGTGCCCCAGTCTTGTCACTTGTAAAATCACCGCTACTCCCGGGGTTTTAGAAGGATTCGGTGAAATCCTGCCTGGGGCCGGCGGGCCAGCTCATGGGAGCAGACAACCGAGCAGCCCCAATGGACCCCCGAGTGGCGCTGCCCTGTCCTCACCGGTGCACGAACTTCCTCCCGAGAGTTCCCTGCTCCCAGACTTTCCCCTTTGCTCTGCCACTGAGCTGTAGGGTTTGCACATTATTCATATTCCAAAGGAAAAATCAAGTAGAAAAAAATCACAATTACTTTTAAAAAATCACAAAATCCTATTTATGGGTGAAAAAAAAAGTTAAACTAGGACAAAATTGAAGTTGCTTGCAGGCACAGAATGGATCTGTTTGAATTTCCAACTGCAGAAGTCAGATTTCAAGAGGAAAATGATTTGAAAGATTTGCAACCTCAATGCTCAGAAATCTGGTGCTTCAGAAATCTGATGTGTTTTTAGCAGCTGACACGTGCCTCTCAGAGGCCTTGGACGTGTACTGGCCCCTCTGCCCCCGTGGAAATGTGAGGAAGCAGGGCTAGGCGTGAGAGCCCACTTCGGGATTCCACCTCCCGGGCAGGCGAAAGGCGGACTTAGCCAGGGTCAACGGCAGGGGCCACCCCGGGGGAATCTGCCCTCTGCCAGCCGCGTGGCCTTGGGCGAGTCCCTGACCACTCTGGGCCTCCCTCCGCTTATCTGGAAGCTGGAGAGTAATACACCAAGGCTGCAGAGACCTCGACTCTGGGTCTCCAGGAATTCGCCACTCACTGCACTGCCCGAGGCCTGCAGCGTCTGCAACACCGGCAGAAATGCAGAGTCCTAGGCCACCCCAGCCCTGCTGATTCAGGATCTGCATTCTCACCCCACCGACCCCCAGGGGATTCGGAGACGGTCCCACCACCTCTTTGCTGGATACGAGCAAGTTTGGCCCAGATCCTGGCTCTCAAAGCAGATGCATCTTTGCCAGCCCAGCTCTCGGCAGGGCCTCTGTCCCCAGGAGACCTGCTCCCCGGGAGCCCCTTGCTCCTCCAGCATCCCACACCCTGAGCTCGGACTCCTCACCTGTGAAGCCGCTGGCCAGGGTGGGGCCCACGGCGCTGACCATGGCCAGCAGGGCCAGCCCGAGGGTCCTGAGCATGGCTGGGCAGTGGCAGTGGCTCTGGGCCTCTCCTGAGCAGCAGCACAAAAGTACCTGGGCCGCCTGGGCCCAGAGACAAGGTCCTGATTTTCCCCTGCGTCGCCGACCGTGGCAGTGGCCTCAGAAGGTGTGCTCACCGGGAGCAGTCCCTTATGCCCGCTCATAAACACCTGCCACCGCCGGGGCCTGTCCCTTGGGGCACCTGCGTGTCACAGCCCATTCTCCCTCCAGGCAGATGGCATCTCTTAGGAAAGGTGAGTACCCCACCGCCCGACTGCATCGCTGGTTCACATCTCACTGTTACGTAGGAAACACATTTCAGCCCTGAATCTGACTCCTTCCATCAAGTACAAAGCATCCTTTAACTTTATAGTCACGAGCTGGCAGGAGAAAACAGCATGGCATCAAAGAGGCTCATCGGATTCAGAAAAGCGTCCTTCACACAATTGGACAGGCCAGATCAAAAGCCAGAGACAACGTCCCTGCGACCCAGCGATCTCTTCCCCAGCCTGGTCTGGGGACCACGGAGCTGCCGTCTCAGAGATGTCTGTCATTGGCCAGCATTTAAAGCAGCAGAGCGTAGAAGTGAGCCTTTGCGGGAGGAGGGGAGGGGAGGTTGTTGCAGAGCCCCTGGACGTGACCGCACCCCGGCATGAAGACCGTGAAGACTTTGGGCAGCGAGGAAACGATATCTCCCGACACGGAGTCAAAGCTGTGCCTGGCGCCGCGCTGCCTCCAGAAGGACGGCAAGTCTGCAGTTGTGGGCTCAGCCCAGAACAGGCCGCAGGACTGAAAGGAAACACTGTGAGGGGCGGCAGGCTGATGGCTGGGTCGTGGTGTGTTTCAGGAGCTGTCACGCGGTGTGAAACGGGTTTTTAAATTTCATAGCGAAGACCTGCCTGTTGACGAAGCCTTCTCGTTCCTCCGTCGGGGGGTCTTTTATCGCCTGGTACAATCTTTAACATTTGATGAGGCACAGTTAGTAGCATTAGACGAGGGTCTCTTTAGTCCTCCGAGAAAACTTTCAAACAGGGCCACAAAGACCCGTCTTGGTCCAGAAGTGTGATTCCCTCGTGTCCGAGATACAGAGCAGGTCTGCCACACGGGTGCGTCTTCCACCCCCAGGAGATTAAGCGCTGAGATACGCAACTGCTGCGCTTGCGCGGTTAGTGCCCATGTGGCAGGTGCCGGGACAAGAAGACTGAAAAAAAAGGAGCTGGAAATAATCCCACAGTTAAGGGGCTCAGCGCGAGTCTCCCAGGAGACAGCAGCGCCCTTCAGAGCTCGGCTCATAAACTCTACTGCTGTCACAGAGGCGTGAAAAAGAGTTCCAACAAGAAAAGACAGACTTTTAAAGCTATAGTATAATATTCAAGAAAAGAAAATGTAATCAGCACGCACAGAATAAACAGCAAGGGTGTTTTGTTGAAGGCAAACCTGAGCATTTACAAGTGGGAGCTGAATCTGTATTACAGTATTCGGATCTATCATCTCTTAGAACTTTGGCTACAATCGCGTACGAACGCTTCTAGAAAACACCAAGGTGGGATCTGGGACAATATTATATTTAAAAACTTGAAATTGGCCTTGTGCACCTTCTTTCTCATCTTCAGGCCCACCCTATGAAGTAGGTCCCTTACCCACCTCACACACATAAAGAAGCTGCAGGTCCAAGAGGCCACACGGCTAGCGAGGAGGACTCCGCTCCAAACCCGGCTTCACAGCTCGCTCCCTGGCTGGCCCCGGGGCCGGCCCGGAGGACACCCGCCACAGACCCCAAGAAGAGGAGCGAAGTCAGGACTTCCTGCCCGCTGCACACGTCACGCTAACTTGGAATTGTCCGTAAGACGTTGTCGCAGGGCTTTCTCTTTATATCAAAACTCATACAATTAAAAAAAAGCCCCCAGATTGTCTGTCTGCTTCTAGCGCCGCGCTGCCTCCCTCCCCCCCAGTCATGCACGGGAAGGGTAAGCGTGCGTGTTGTTTCTTTTCCATCCACAGGGAGGGGATCCCCTCCTGGTGCTCACGCATATTTTACTGCGTGACGGCCACAGGGATTTTCCACTTTTGACTTTTCCATGTAAACGGTCTACTTGAGGAGAAGTAACCATGCGCTAACCAGAGGGAGAGGGCTGTCCCTCCAGGGCACCGTGTCCAGGTGAGTCTGGCCACAGGTCCATCCAGCAAAGAGCCCTCCGGTCCACGCTCCTGGGGAGAAAATCCAACATCCTGTCAACGTGGTGACCAGAAACTGGGGAACTAGGGGAGGCCCTCAGGCTGCAGTTCTAGATCTAAGGACACACACACACACACACACACACATTCACTGTCACATATGCACACTTGCTCACACGTCCACACTCTTACCCCTCCATGTGCGGGTTTACTGCAGACACACCCTGGGACGCTCACACACACGCACGGACACACGGGATGCGGGTGAGCTCCCGACCCTGCAAACAGCGTCTCCGTGGAGGGACCTGTGCTCTCTGCTGCTGGTGACAGAGCCTGGGCTGAGCGCCGCCCGCCCCCACCGTCAGCAGGAGGAGGGGGTTGAATCAGGTTACCTCCAAACGGCCCTTCTCCTCTCGGGTTCTGAGTTCCGTGGTCCTAAGCACAGAGTTCCAACAACTCCAAGACAAAATCACATCTGTCATGACCCCACAGGCCAAAATATATACGCCCCCAGCGCTATCCTGGGTTGTGGCTATCATGTCCCAAGGGAGAGATACGCGTAGCCGTGGTCTGGGGCGGGGATGGCAGGACAGCTCCGCTCCCAGCCTTCTTCCGACCCCTGCTCCATCGGCAGCCCCGGGGACCACCATGCGCCAGGCCAGTGGGCAGGGAGGGGCGGGCAGGGACCCGGTGCTCTCCTGCCCTGCCTGGCCTGGGGTGGGGGGCAGCCTCCAGGGTGTGGAGGCTGCGGTGCAAAGTGACATGGGGCACGAGGGAACTGGGGGGCTCAGGAGGAGCAGCGTGGGGTCTGGCGACGGCTCTGCTTAGTGAGGACGGAGCTGGAGGTGGGGCGGGGAGGCATCCTCTCCCTAAGGGGCTATTTCCAGGGAACACTGGCTGTGATGGACGGTCAAGACAGAGAGCTAGAGAGGAGCTTTATGAAGCTGTAGAAATGTTGGGTTTGGAAGTCACCTTGAGCAATCTGGCCCAGCTTCTGACCCCAGTCCGGACTGCTCTCTGACGCTGCAGAATCAGGGGGGCAGGCTCACTGGAAATTCAGGTGCCCCAAACTTCTCAGGCTGTTAGGGTGGGTCCGCAGGGGCTCAGGTCCTTCAGGTGCGCAGAAGCTTGAAGACACTGACAAATCCTTGTAAATTCGCAGGGACGCGGCCCTGGGTAGAGCAGCCCCTCCCCGGGCAGTGCTCTGCTGAAACATTCCTCCTGATGGGGGGTCAAATTGACCTCCGCTGGCACCACCAGGAGCGCGGCCGTGGTCCTTCAACTAGACTAAGGAATCGCATCGCCTTCCACCTGACAGCCCTGCAGACTCTTCTGGGGAGTTCTCCTGGCACCCTTGTTTCTGGTGTGGTTGCTCTTCCTGGTCCCTCCCCATACTTGTCTCCCCCACTGCACACGCAGACACACTGACACACACACAGAGATATACAGGCACACACACAGACATGCAGACACACAGACACACACAGAGACACACAGACACACACACACACACATCCTTTTTATCCCTGTCTTTTTCTTCTGTGTTTGGTTTTGCAAATCCTTGACGTTATAAAATCACAGAGTGGACGCTGTTTCTCACCCTCTCTTCCCATCCCAGCCTGGAGACCATTGCCCTCTGAGCAGAGTTGAATGGAAAGCGGGGGTCCAGCACGTGGTCACCAAGCCCCAGGGAGCGTGCTGGACACTCTGCTTCCAGCCAGGGTGGGTTGGACGGTGAGGAGAAGCAGGTCTGCCTGCGCAGGTGCCCGGGTGGCCAAAGCAGCTGGGGCTGGAGCTGGGGGCCCAGGCCTCTGCTCTGCAAAGCTGCACGGGAGGCTGGGAAGGCAGGCGACCCTGCACAGCCCCCTTTTCATAGACTCGCGGGAAAAGCCCTGGCCTAGGAGCCGGACATCCTGGTCTACCCTAGTTTTGCCAACAACCAGAGGGGTTACCAGGGGCAACGCTGCATCTCTCTGCACCTCCCAATCTACAGAATGGGGACCCATGTGCCTCCAAACTTAGCAGTGTGGGGTAACGCCTCCCGATTTTGTGAAAAACAAGCCAGGCCGCGTGTGGGAACTGCTCTAGAACTTGAAAGCGCTTTAAGACATCCGTCCTCTAGTGTCATTAAATGTAGGTAAAGTGTTATTGGGGGAATTTCATTAAAAGCAAGTTCTGCTCCCACCCCAGGGAACCTCTCCACAAAGTTAAAGGAGAAAGAAGATTCTTTCACTGCTGAACGAACATTAGACCAGATGGCAAGGCGAGCCGCGGGCAGCCCGATGCGAGACTGCACAGGCACGAAATCCCACCTTCCCTGCGATCGAGCAGACGCGCCCACCAGGTCAGGCTCGCAAGGCAAACAATGACCAGTCCCCAGGTAAGAGGGCTTGCCAGCACCGCTGGTCACACACATCTCATGCTCACCTCGGCCTGCGACTGGGGCGACCTTCTGTCCTAGCCAAACGGCTTCATCCAGAGGGAAAAGAAACTTCTGTCTTTAGCACAGGAGGCTGTTTGGCAAAGTAGAGCAAGGAGCCCACAGAGTTAGGGCCCCACCCACCTCACAGAGACTGGGGGGAGACGGGGTGACAGCGCTCTTGACGTTTCCAAGGCAAAGAGATGTTCCCAGGGTCTTGAGAGTGATGTTCTTGGGCCACAGAGCCCAGGAAATGCTAACCTAGTCTTCAAAAGGGGACACATGCGTTTCAGAGAGGGGACGGTGCTTACACGTTTTCTAAAGTACGTGCTCAAAGAAAAGAGGGGAGGGAAATCTCTTCCCTTACTTTTCACGGAAAGAATTAGACCTTTTATTATTTTTAATTTGTATTTGTCTTTACAGCATGAATGCCCCAAAGCACTCTGCCAGGTGTGGGGGTTAGGACGACAGAGCCAGGGAGACTGGGCCGCGTGCCCTCCGAGGCCCCTGCCAGGAGGGCTGAGCATCTGAGCGCCCCACTTGAGTTCTAGAATCTAGTAGTAAGAGCCCACGTGCTACAATCAGGATAACCGTGGGCTGAACAATCTTATGATCAGTGTTCTCGCAGAGAGGTAACACCAGCCCAGAAACAGAAGGCCACCCCTCTGAGGGCCCCAGGACTCCGGAGTGGAGGGCAGCGTGTTAGCACAAGGGCACTCGGATGAGAAGGGTGTCCCGGGCTCAGGCCGGGCTGTGTGCGGTGGGGCACCTCGGGCCTCGGGACTTCAGTCTCTGGCCCCACATGGAGGGCAGGGGACAAGCTTGGTCCCAGTGAGCACCAACATTTCACAACGTCGCATCGTCCCTCTCAGGACAGACTGAAACCCAACACTTGACCCCCCAGGACTGTTCGAGCATGAACGTCAGCATGTGGATTTGAAATAACGAAGAAGATGGATCCCATGGGGACTAAGGAGCACGCCTCCGCCTGACGCTTCGGGATCCTCCTGATGACGGAGCCGAGCAGGCGACGCCTGAAGCAGGGGCTATTCCAGACCCGTCCCCATCTGCACCTGTGATGGGCTGCAGTCGCCCCTGGAAAACACCTTTATTTACTCCCCAGGAGGGAGTCTTCCCGCAGAGTTAAAAGCAAATTGCCGAAGTCCTTTCCTGCTAACCTGAGTCAGGCTGTTAAGAGGAAGAGAGAAAACACTGACAGCCCCTCCCCTCCGAGGATTTTAGAGGTTAAGGACAGGAAGCAGCAGATTCAATCAGCACAGTAAGCTGTTCCAGAGTCTCAGATGGGCCGTGTTTAGAGGGTTCTTGAGAGAAACGGAGCCCAGAGGCGTGTGGCCTCCGTCACTCTCTGGAGGGCTCTTGGGGGCTTCCCGGGTCCCCTTCGCAGCCCCTGCCTGGGTGACAGCTCGCCCGCCCTCTCCCTCCCCTCCTCCGGGGGTGGGCACTGG